GATCGCCGTTTGCTGCGCACTCTCGCGGAGTCCATGGTTCCCCCGGCTATCTTGTCGTATGCATTGAACTATATGATAACATATAGTTATCATATAGTTCAATGGTTGTATGCCCTCATACAGTGCACACTGCACTTTATGTATGCATTTTACCATTTTTGACACTAGAAATTCGCCAGACTAAACCGGTGTGAAAATAATGCACCGGGATGTTTGGACCATATCATTTACAGGGTGTTGACCAGTTGCCCTTAAATGTTAATGTAATATACTAATATACTATAGAAAACTATAACTATTAATGAATTAACTATAGTCTATAATAGTACAACTGTTGTTGTTTTATTCTAATTTTTTGTAGAATCTTAATTCTTAAGTTTTCAGTGAGATTATTTAGAAGTAATAAAAGTACCTATAGTTATTTTAGCAATAATATAAATCAAGAGACTTGAATTAATAGCTGGTGAAATTCGCAATAGGTATATATAATATTTATTATATACAATAGGTACATGACTAATGACTATGGAGAGTCCAATAATCCTGGAGACTAGTAAATACATCACTTCCAAAGTAGGAAAATAAATATATTATAATATAATATAGGTACATTTATTATATTATATTATATGCATACAATATATTTATATATATAAAGGTAAAATCATTATTAGTTAAAAAAAATGGAGAATATGCGAAGATTGTGACAATGAGAAACAGTGTTTTGCGGGCTCTATAAAACTTCCAATAATGAAATACAATCCACGTCCCATAATTTTACTTGTTTAAATAGTATATTTTTCTTACGTAATACAACCCCGATACAGGGCCGTCGGTACAAATTGTGGAGCCCTCTGCAAACATTTTTATATAAAATAATATTTTGTTGAATTATACCTACATAAATAAATTATATAATACATATTTTATGAAGAGCTTAAAACTAAGATAACGATGTAGATATCTTAGGTATGTTTTATGTTTTGAATGCTTCACCTATATAGACATTTTAAAAGGGACAATTTGTACATTTCTGATCTATAGAGTGACTTATCGTAACTTGTGGACAAAGTTTACTAGTCGAAAATAGTAGGTATCTATAGACAAAAAATAACCATCATTGTAAATCGAATAGTTCCCCGATCCTTCCCTTCACTCAGGAATCAGAATCTAAAAATAAATAAAGATATTTACGAGTGGTTTTATTAAATACCTACTAGGTGTAGGCAGTGTCGGCCTGGCCAGGGCCGCGGGGCCGCGAACGCGGCCGAGGCCCTGAGCTTTTTTTTTTTTTTAGTTTATAATTAGTGGCCAGGACCACCACCCCAACGTAGAGTAGTCAACAAAGCGTCAAATATACGGTACAATTAAATGTACGACGATGAACGAGGGAGTGTAGATCACTGGGGCCCACAGGCTGCAGGGGCCCCAGCCGAAGTCTTAACTAAAAATATTGTTTTCTATATTAGATTTGGATAACAATTTTTACAATCAATATGACCACCCCAATTTTTATTCACAAAAATAATCGTAAAAAACTTTAATAGAGCCCTTCATTGAAAGTGACAATTGGCCTAGTTGCGCTACTGACGAAGTGTATAAACGGGGCCGGTTTAGAGAGAGCCCACGGGGCCCGGGGCCCCACAAGATTCAATTAATAAGAGGCCCCCACGAGATAATTACCTTTCAGCTTATGCAGTAAGTTATATGTCAACCTTATATGGCCAGATGATGGGCCCTAGGGCCCCCACAATCCTAAATCCGGCCCTGTGTATAAGTTATAGAATTTGAGTGTAGTGTACAATCACTACAAACACGTATCTACTATCTAGTACGATATAATAGAATCTATATTTTGTCGTGGTGTATACGTGTGCGGTGTGCTGTTTACTCGTATAAGGTGTAGTACAAATGTAATGATAAACGAGATGATTTGAACGCACATAAGATTTTTTGTACAACAAAATTGTCGGGAAAATCGTAACGAGTACAAATACAATAAGTCAATAACGTCTATGTGTGGGGCCCTGTATGGCCGTACAATAGGTTTGATAAATTGTCTAATCAATTATTATCATTAGCGCTATATCGAAATAAAGAAGTAAGAACAATTAAGTTAAGTAATTAAAGAACTTTCATTTCATTCAAACTCATTTTATAATTTATTTACAGTTTATAAATATGTATTTATTTTACCCTCTACTCAAGTGACTTGTGAAAGGGTATTTTCTAAACTGAAACTTGTGAAGTCTAAAATCAGATCAACAATAAGTCAACAACATTTAATGCTTATTGCAATTGAAAAAGATATCAAGATTCAGAAAACTCAAATTATTGATACTATAGCTACATAACTACCTAAGTCATCTAAAATGTTACATGAATTGCTCATTTAGTATTTAAGTTTTTTATATTTAGCTATTACTTTCTTTAAAAATAATGTTGTGTCAATTTTGTTCATTGTTCGTCTTCTTTATTATATTTTGGATGATATATTTTTCGTAATTTGAATTACATTTTGTTTAGTACCTTATTAAAATCATGTGTATCATTAAGCACGTCAGAAGTTAATACTTGGTTTTAGACTTTAGTAGAGAATTGTAAAAGTGGAAAAATTTTAATCGAGCGACTATTTGGTGAGTGGGGGGAGGGAGGTAAAAGTCAGCGTTAATAATTGGCGTTTAACGGTCAGCATCAACATAGGCGCAACTAGGGGGGTGCTAGGGGGACTTTAGCACCCCCAGACTAAAAATTAGCACCCCCAAAAATTCAAAGTCAAATCCTTGATTTGTAAGCTGTAGGTATTTCATTATTGTACCTACCTATTCTGTTCAAATTTTTATTTTAGAATAATTTATTTATATTTAATGTTTCGAAGATAGTTATATTAGATGACAACATAGTTTGTCATGAGGTCTACAATATAATATCATGATAGCCGATAGGTAAGGTATATTGCATTGGGAATTTGGTTGTGTTAATAGTTATTTTTAAACTGTTATATCTACGTAATCCGCTACCCGTATGTTTTCCATTATATGCGTTATCGTTATAAATTATAAATATAACTTATAACATTACACAACAGTCGACGAGACGACGACACACGTTATACAGACATACAGTACCCAAAACTTGAACTGCCAACAGGTAACAGTATTCCGTCTCCGTAAATCTGAATTGATAGGTATTTAAAATGTTTAGTATTTTTAAAAAACGGAAACCTAAATCTGATATTGACGATCCTGGCATGGTTGACATTTCTACTAATAGTACTACTCATACAAGTGATACAACTCTTGATTTGGCCGATTTGGGAAATAAAGATTCCGGCCCATGTCGTCCTATACTTACAGTAAGATTTATTCTGTTTACATATAAAAACTTAATAATTCGTTTTATGAGTTTTTTTAAATAAATAAAATAAAATAATAATAATAAAACTATAATAAGGTGTTTAATATTTTTCTGATTAATTTTATTATTATTTATTAATTAGGAATATAAAAAAATTAAATTTGGAACACAACAAAGATCGTTTCGAAGCCAATGGTACAATGAATGTGATTGGCTAGAATACAGTGTTCAGCGTAACGCTGCATTCTGCTTTGTTTGCCGAACTTTCGGTTCAGAAAATTCAGGTGAAAATATATGGATTAAATCTGGGTTCAATAATTGGCAAAAGGTAAGTAGTTTATTTTGAAGTGTAATAGTATATGTATTTTTACAAATAAAATAATTAAAAAATAAAAATTATTCAAAAACTTAAACTTCGCTAGAATAACTTAGTGTGTTAGACGTTAGTATTGAATACTAAATTTGTATCATGATTAATATAATCGACCACATTTTTTTCAGTTTCTTGTAAAATAAAAAAAACATTCTTCTACCAGTACTCATTTGACTAATTTATCAAAAATGTGTGCATATAAAAGTAGTTTAAAGACAGGATCTGTTGTGACACAACTATCTAGAGCTCATAAAAAACAAGTTGAAATTAATCGCAAATACATGTCTAGTTTAATTGATGTTGTGTTATACCTTGCTAAGCAAGGCATAGCATTTAGAGGACATAATGAAAATTTAGATTCTTTAAATCAAGGTACATTTAATATTTATAATGTTATTATTTATTAATAAAATTAATATTTTCTTGTAATAATATAAATACAATTTTAGGTAATTATAAGGAAATGTGCCATATGGTATTTTCAAAGTTCATGCCAGATTTGAAAAATGTATATGAGAATAAAATTAACCATACCAGTTGGAAAGTGCAGGACGAAATTATTAAAATAAGTGCTGACCTAATTAAAGAAATTATTGTTGAGGAAATTGTTGTTTCTGGGAATTTTGCACTTATGGTTGATGAAGCCAGGTACAATATATTTCACCATTGTAATATTTATAATAGTCATATTTAGTATATTTTGATCAAATTAATATTTTTTAAATGTAAATATATATTTGTCCACAGGTCCCATAAAGAAGAACAGTTATCTGTATGTGTGCGGTATGCTGTTGGTCTTGAGGCACGTGAAAGATTTTTGCAATTCATAGATGTTTCTAATGGACAAACTGCCAACCATATTATTTCTGCTGTTTTTAATTGTTTTCAAAATTTAAGTATTAATATCAATACATTAAATATTGTTGCTCAGTCTTATGATGGTGCCAGCGTAATGGCTGGACACCTTGGAGGTGTCCAGGCAAAAATTAAACAACAATTTCCATGTGCCATATACACACACTGTATGGCACACAGATTAAATTTGATTGTTGTGGATACGTGTAAAGGAATAAAGGTATTAATTAGTTTAAGATAATAAAAATAATAATAATAATAATAAAATAATAATCAAACAATAATTCATTGAAGTATTTTTAACAGAATGCCTATACGGCTATACCTGTAGTAAAATAATAAAATTTTTATCATATAATTATATAATCTGTATTAACATTTATAGAGAGCTCGAAGTATTTTTAATACTTTAGAAATGGTTTATGTTCATTTCTCTCGACCATCCAACAATGCTAAACTCATTGAAGTTCAATCTAAACTAGGTTTAAAAAAAGGAAATGTTCTCAGGATATGCGATACAAGATGGGTATGTCGCTATAAAAATTGCGAGTCGATGATAAAAAATTACTCATCAATATTAGAATTTTTAAAGAATGAAGTTGAAGCACAAGTGGACAAAGATGCTATTGAAGCTATCGGTAATTGAAAAAAAATTATGTAATGTAATTATAATTTGATACATTATTTTTAATTGTTGAATTTTTTTCTTAATTATAATTTTAGGTATTCTCGGTCAAATACAAAACTGTGCTTTTTTTATTGGAGTTACTCTATTGAAAGACATTCTTGGTATCATTAATATAATAAGTGTCACATTACAATCTAAAAATGCCACTTTAGGAAAAGCAAAAAGCATTATCAATGGAAGTATACAAAGTATTGAAAAATTACGTTCTGACATTGAATTTTCTACATTTTGGCAAAAAATTACATCTTTAGCTGAAGAGAATGATATAACCCTTGAAGTACCACACAAAGGTAAATATTAGATTAACTGTAAACCTTTGTAAAATCTAAAGGTTTTTCTTAAATAAGTTTTAACTTTATGTGTGAAATACATTTCTTAGACATTCATATGTAATAATTATTAATTAACAATACCATCAAAACAAAATTCATGTTCACAAAAATCAAAATTTAAATACATATAACAGTAATTTAATTTTAAGTTACTAATAAAAAATGTATTTAATGATTAGGAAGAAAACGGATAAGAACTCAACCGAAATCTTTGAACAATTTTTACTTACAATTAACAACTGGAGAAGAAAATGAACCAAATATTACACAATCTGTTGAAGACTATTGGAGACAAAATTTATACTATCCAATAATTGATTCTATAATCGTTAATTTAAAATATAGGTTCTCTGAAGAAAGTTTATCTATGGCTTGCTCCGTTGATAATTTTATGAATATGAACTATGAAGGAAGCTTAGAGTTCATAAATAACTATAAAGTAAAATTGATATAATATTAAATACAATTTCAATATTGAATTCAATTTTTTTTTCAGTAGTGTAGTTTAAGTTACTATAACTTTAATATTTTTATTATTTTTACTATTCAATTTCAGAATGTGACAAAAGTTTCAATCGATTTATTAAAAGCTGAAATGATGGTTTTCAAAAACTGTTTGCCACCAGATTTCAATTTTGATGATATTAAAGGAAAAATAAATAAAGAAGCTTTTCCTAACTTGTATAAGCTACTTCAAATTGCAATTACAATCCCAATAAGTTCTGCAACTTGTGAACGTAGTTTTTCTAGTATGAGACGTATCAAAAATTGGCTAAGAACAAGTATGTTGCAGCAGCGCTTTAGTGACTTGTCAATTTTAAATATTGAGAGGGATTTATCAAATAAAATACAAACGGAAACAGTGTTAGATAGATATAACACAAAAACCAGGAAAATTGTTTTAAAATAATAGATTATAATATGTTATCTAAATAGTTGTTATTAGTTATTGTAATTAATTATTAATTATAATGTTTTTAGTGATTGTTCCTTAATATTAATCATTATCAAAATATCAAATGTGTTATCATATAAATTAATATAAATATGAAGTTGAGTTATAAAAGCATGTTGTTAATAGCTTTGAAGTTGTGTGTTGGTGGGGGAAGCCCCCCACGGGTTACCAAGGTATACTAAATTTTAGCACCCCTTAAATTGCAGGTCTAGTTGCGCCTATGAGCATCAAACGGTGCTGTTCAATATACAGGTTTCACTTTAATCACACAACTATAGTCATTTTTTATTTTTATTCATAAGAAAAAAACTGAATTCTGACATAATATATCATAAGTTAGTTTACAAAAAATAATTCATTTACACATTGGCTGATTGAGCGGGGGGGGGGGGATATACAATAACTCTAGGAACGAAATTGTTCATATATAGTAAATGAAGAAAAAAAATCGAGGCCCCAGAGAAAAATTGCGGCCGAGGCCTTTTATATGCCAGGCCGACACTGGGTGTAGGTTAGGTTAGGTTATTAATTTATTGTATTGAAATGGACTGAAACTCGGATCTGCAACTTAATTATACGTACACCGCACGTGGCACGCATATGGTTTCATATTAGTTTAGTTTTAGACCGTTTAAGTAATTCAGTGCCTCATTACGATTTACGTTGTTTATCCTCTTATTCAATTTATCGTGAATAATAAATATTGTTAAAAATGTTTGAGATTTTTTAAATTTTTGTTAAAGTATATTATAAAATGACATTTTAAAGAAAAGTTAGACTACCTACACATACCAACGTACTGATGTCACAGAATAAATTATTATTTCAACTGTAGTTTGAAAAATATATTATCTTTACTAAAATTATAATATTTTATTACCTAGTGACGATTTTTCCGGAGTGAGATCAGCTTCCGGGGGGCCCTGTGCAGGGGCACAGGTTGCACTGCCCTTGCCCCGATAGGTAGTCTAATGGTTTAACGCGTAGGAACAGTGACGTAGCCAAAGGGGGGAGTGGTCCATGGGGTCCGGACCCCCCCGAAATGTCATCGACGAAATTTTTTTTAGAATATGAGTGGAACGAAAATGCTAGTGTTTTTACAATGATTTTTTTTTGTGCTGGTTAGGTTAATTAATTATAATATGTTATGGAAAAAATTACAAAATAATACGGTTAGCACACACATAAATATATATATAAGTAGGTACTCGTATGACGTTTACGTATACTTTATAGCTGGGTATGAGGTAGTTACATATATTGATATATATATATATATATATACATAGACTATAAACCCTTTGTATAAACTATAAACTCCATAATAACCATGTTGATAAGAATGACACAGTACTAATAAGTAGGTACCAAAGTTAAGATAGATTTGTAATATAATAATCATGATTGTCCTTTATCATCTGACTAGATCGTAAATTTTATCTTTTATATTGTTATACTTATCGTATCGCGTATACAATTTAAAGCAAAATGCCAAAATATAATATTATACTAATATACCATACTCGTCAGTCGTCTGTCGATGTTTGTCTACTTTCATATAAACGTACCTACCTACGGTAAATTTTATTTCATTTTATTTCTGTGCTCGTTTCTGTTTCGTTTTTTGTTTTTAAATAATCAAATATGAAGAGAGGAGCTTTTGACAATTTTTTTAAACCAAAAAAACCATTTACTGGTCGAAAATAGGTTTGAACAGAATAATGATATTTTTTCGTCAATAGAAATATTATTACCAAAATTCGCTTTAGAAAAAAACGTCGAAAAACTAAAAATCTCACCATTTATTTTGAAGATAAAATTAGCGAAAAAAATATAGCAAATGAGTGTGAAAACAGAAAAGTGGAAAAATAATGAAGAAACCCCTACAGATATTATGGCTATTTTAGACTCGTGTGATTCGACTTTTTACCCAAATATAAACCATTTGTTACGAGTTTTGGCAACCCTCACAGTATCTAGTATCTACAACTGAAGTTGAACGATCATTTTCAACTTTAAAAAGAGTAAAAACACTACTTCGAAACCAAATTGGAAATTACCGTTTAACGGGGCTGACTCTTTTATCCATTCATTGGGAAATATCAGTTTCACCAAATGAAGTGTTGAATATAATGGCAAAATCAAAAAGAAAATTATTATTATAAATTATAATTTTATTATATCTATATATTATGTTATATTTATACCTACATTTTAGATTCTGAGTGAAACGATGAATGTATTGATTTTACAATGATGTGTGTTTTTTTTTTATTTTTTTATTTTTTTATTTTTATTTTTTTATTTTTGTGTCTGTGTACACGATAAGTAGTCGAAATAATGCTTCGATTTTCGACTTCAGTATCTTGTTCGATTGGAAAGTGGATATCGTTGGTGCATTGGGGAGGTCAAAATTTAAAATTCCCAATAGTTTTCACAAGCGCCAGGAAAAACAACATAAAAATTAAGGAAAAACGGGAATTTTTACGCAAATCGGTTTTCCAAAAAATCGATTCTGGTTTTTGGTGTAACTTTAAAACAAATGACCGTAGATACATGAAATTTTCACTGGTTGTTTATATTTGCATCTTCTATACACGATAACATTTTCAAAATATTTTGATTTATTTTGAACAGTTTAGGGACATTTTCATTTTTAGTTTTTTTTCTAGAAATATCAATAAAATTTTATTTGTTGGTTGCGAAAGCTTGAAAATTTAATAGAAGGCTCCTAATATATTGTTTCAAAGGCAGATGAAAAATATTAAAAATCCTTAGTCACAATTTTTTTTTATAAGCATTTAAAATTCAAAAATTGCCAAAATATGGAAAAATCACGAAAATTAGCAAATTATTTTGAGTTAAGAATTCGTAAAAATTTTTCTTTTTAAATCTAAGATTTGAAAATCTAATACAAGATTACTCATAAGATTGTCTACCTTTATCAATAAAAAAATCTCTACCGGAAAGTCAAATTAAATTTTTATGAGCGTTTGAAATTCAAATTTTTACAACATTGGATATTCACTCGATTTCTCATGTGGCAATTTCCTTTTTTTGTTGTAATTAAAAAACGAATTACTGTAGATACATGAAAATTTCACTGAATGTTTATATTAGCATTTCCTATACACCATACAATTTTGAAAATATTTTGACTCTTTTTGAGCCGTTTACGGACATTTTCAGTTTTCAATTTTTTTAGTTTTTTTTTTCTATAAATATCAATTAAGTTTTATCTGTTGGGCCAAAAAGTGTAAAAATTTAATACAAGGCTCCTGATATATTGTTACAATATCAGTTGAAAAATATTAAAAATACATAGGCACAATTTTTTTTTATAAGCATTTTAACATCGAATTTTGACAGAATTTTTCAAAATCTCGAAAATTATTAATCATCGTAATTAATAAATTATAAAATGTTCAGTTTTTATAGCTAAGGATTGAAAATTTAAAACAAGATTCTACGTAAGTAGTTAATTCTCTTACCGAAAAATCTAAAAAATATACAATCACAGTTTATTTTTATAGTCATTTTATGTTCAAATTTGGACGAAATTTCATATTAAAAAACCTAGTTATTTTGTTGTGATTATATAATATTATTCGTGGGTACGGGGTACCTACTTGAAACTTCTAAAGTGTATTATTATATATCGATGATAGTATCAGGGTTTGTTATTGATGTTGATGTATAACGTGTTATAAGTACCTGGATATTGTGATAATGTGATATGATTAATTTGGAATTTATTATAGGTCAATTTTTTTTTAATACCTACCATAGATTTGTATATAATTTATCTTAAACCTAGACTGACATACCGTCTTCGCTCAGAATCGTTTTTCTTATACAATGATATTATATCATTGAATTCAAATTTAATAGCATCCATTATACAGTGATCCACTACTGTACAGCAGAGCGACATCCACTTACCCACCTTTTTTTTTTGACCCCCTCGAAATAAAATCCTGGCTACGTCCCTGTACTCAGCAGTTCACGTCTAGCATACCTACATAATATGATCAGCACACTCACAGAAACCCACCTAGTTACGACGTAGATATAAAAATGTCAAATGTGGCCTGGATAATACATTTTCCCGGCTTGAATTTTTCACCCAGGCCGCCCGGGTACCTACTACCTATTGTAAGCCGTGAACAATTTTAGTGTTAAAAAACAAAATTAACTCAAGTGATTGTTAGAAGGATAAGTCATGTTTATAGATTATTGGAATTATAAATTATTTATAAATGGACGGGATTACAGAACAAACAAAATAATAAATAAATAGCAAACTGTGTCGATTGTTTTATATTTCTGAAGTTTTTAAATTGAAGTGTATATAATATAACCGTACAACACCATAACACGTTAACCAACTTCTTTTGTAATTCGTATAGGTAGATAAATTAGTGTATGTGTGGTTATGAA